CATATTTTGAAATCGTAGAAGTAAATGATTGATGAAGAGAAAAAAAAATCGAAAATGTTTCTAACGTAGAAAGCAAGAAAGGAAATATGAGATGTAGAGTAATTATTTACTATCAAAACATTGATAATAGAAAATAAAAAAAGAGTACTGACCTTTTGTTTTGTTTATCGATATTTGATAGGACAAGTTATGAATATTTTGTTTCGATGAAGTGGAATTTTACTCTGAAAACATTGTTGTATTTCCTATGTAATATTGTATCATTCAATAGACATACAATAATGTAGTACTTAGGTAATCGTTTTTCGATCGTGAACACATCCCGGAGTGTCTATGACTTATGCAACTTGACGCTTTGGAACGCATCGAGAATGAAACATTTTCGAATCTCTGAACGCGTTTACAGTGGGCAAACGCGTCTCTCTTTGTTCCAATGCTAACAGTATCACAACTCGTTTATGTCAAAAGACACGTTTGAACGCGTCCAAACGTGTCTCTCTTGCACACGGATTACGACGCGTTTATTTTTCGCCCCCAAAAAATTAAAAAATAATCATTACTGTGTGTTGGAATCTGACCGACGCATCATAACGAGCTACGATATAATACTCATATTCTATGAGCAACAGAGTGATAATTTTTCCAATCACAGCTTGGACGAAGATTTGAACACAACTAGCTCTGAGCTAAACACAGCTCGAACTTGTTCCTATGTTTATTAATTGCATCATTAGCTCGTATAATACTACTTGTTGCAACATGGTGAACAGAGCTATTATATTTTTACTTTGTGAAATAAATATAAATAATATGTTTATCGAAAAAAATCAAGATAAATATGTTCTTGATATTTAGAAAAAAATTTAGGCTGTGGGTGTGGGTGTGAGTGTTATTGTTTCCTGTACCGAAACCCACATCCACACCCTTTTCTTCTAGAGCATCAAATCATTTTGTTTTACAATATCAACTTCCTATAAACGACAATTTTCTAAAAATCTTATTTATTTAAAGTGTCACTTTTCTTCGAAGCACAATGATATTTCTGGTGGTTAGTAGTTAGCCATACAAAATGTCAAATATATAAGTCATTTTTTATGCTTTGTATGTTATTTTTATGTAAGGTAAAGCTTGTCCATAACGATATATGATAAATTCATCCGAGTTTGGTAATTGCGGGAAAGTGCCATGGACTGAATGATATTTATCAGGTGCCGAAATTAAATTAATTTTATGCCTATTAAATTTTTGTACATTGCCCATGAGTACTTTTGTAAGAAATATGACGCGCTTGTCGTTGTCGTTGGCATCTGGAAATGTACGTGTATGCACACATTTTGGATTATCGCTGAAATAGGCTCCTTTACCTGAAAAGAAAGAGACTAAGTTTGAGTGAAAATCATTTTTTGTCTATTAAAGAAATTAGGATATCATCTTTAACTACGATTATAATTACAGTAATTATGTATAATAGATATTGAGACAGGAACAAAATTAAAACATGCTCGGGAAATTTTCATACCGAAACAAAATTTTGATTATAATAAAGATACAAAAAAAAACATAATAATTATGCTACCTAAATCACGTACTATATGGTCAACTTAGGCGTGAACGGCGTCGATGTGGGGTATCGGTGTGGATATCATTTTTCCTAACACCCACACCCAAAAAGAGAAAAAAGACTACATTGTAGCTGATTCTAAGTTTGATGTCTTCATACACATTCACTTTAAAAGAAAAATTATACTACTTTAGTTATAAGTTATAAAACGGCTCACAAAATAATTTTCACATAGTATCTGAGAATCAAGCTTTTAAAATGTAACGAAAATAGCTATAGTAAGACGAAACTAAGAAAAATTTGTAATTTTTGCCATATGGTTATGATATGGTTGGGTAAAGATTAAGATAGTATAGAATCCTTTCAAAATAGATGTATTAGTATTGGAAACCAAGGGGGAAACAGCAGACTTGAAGTAAGCTTGAAGTAAGCTTAAAGTAGCTTAAAGTAGCTTGAAGTAATTGCAAGTAACTTCAAGTAAATTTGAAGTTGAAAAGTACTTCAAAGTACTCTACTTGAAGTAGGCTTAAAGTAGCTCAAAGCAGCTCAAAGTAGTTCAAAGTAGCGCAAAGTAGCGCAAAGTACTTGCAGTACAAAAGTCTGCTGCTTCCCCCTTGTTGGAAACACTCGGATATAGCACTGAATCGTCACCTTAAGGGGGTCCGCCTCAGAAACGAACTTTTTTATTTTTCGATGGAATTCAAGCAAAATTTTAGAGAATGTTAGTACTGACTAGAATAGATTATGGTTAAAATATCTCCTCAAATCTGCGAGTTATTCACGAGTTATAATCTGTTTATTGGTCAAAAGTACCCTATACACAGGCAAGGTTTTCACAATCAGGACACGAGCTAACATAGTGGGGCTGTTTTTAAGTTGTAGAGTACCCTTGACGCTAGATTCTAATAGAGCTCGATTTCTGAAATTCCCTTTATTTGTTCTATAAAAATCTTCTCCGACAAATTCCCAAATTCATAGTCAAAAAAATTGCCGATAAAAATGAGATGTGTAGGCTTTTTATTTCATCAATGGAGAAATTCAAAAATCGGGCTCTATTAGGATCTAGTCCTAACTGTCCTCTATGTAACAAAAAAAATTTATCATTTCTATATTAAGTCGTTATTGAGTAAGAGTTGCCCGCGCAAATAGTATACTCAAAAAAACTGACTTTGAGAAAAAGGCAAAATAAGTTTGAGAAGTCGATTTTTGCGAAACACACCTGAATTACATATCAGTGTTCAGAACAAGCTATAGATATCTGATCTTAATATTAAGTTTTAATAGTCTCGTAGTGATTAATATAAAAAAAACTTTACGATATGCTGATACAAAAAGAAAGCAGCCTAAAAACACCTAAAAAATTGTAGAAGAATATCGTGAAACTTTCTCGAAAAATATGGTAGTAAGAGCCAAGTTTTAGACGATAAGTTCGTCAAAATCAATTCATTTTGCGATAAACCATAGGTATTCTGAAAGGGGATACTTCAGGGTATCTTTCTATGATAGAACCTCAAACTCAACGTGTCTTCGAAAAACTGGGTTTTCTAAGGGGGCTCCCTTAATAAAATATCAAGCAGATACTAATCTTTGGTGCTGTTATGAGTTGTTCGAAAGAATAATGAAATATCATTATCCTTCAAACTGAAAATATATGTAAACAATTTCATGCGATTCCAAATCCCTTATTTTATTCTTTGAAATCTTCTAAGCATACTGATGGCCGCATTTATATTGCAAGTTAACAGGTTACCATCTCAGTAACCTGGCCTGTAAAAAATCTTGTAATCTGGTAGCACCGTACCCTCATAGGGCAGAGCAGGCTATCTATGACTTGCCGGACTCTAAGCATTGCGCAAAAGGAAGCTTTGGATGAACCTAGAAAAACTTATATAACTTATGATATCACACATCATCTGAATAAATAACATGACAGTCAACTGATCTGATTCAGATCACATTATATAAAGTGTAAAGTAATATCTCATGTTCACAAAACTTTCCATGAAAGAACTCTTTCGAAACGTTGGATAAATTATTTTTGGGAAATAATGTTACTTACCCCAGTTACCATACCGATAAATTCGATCAAGAAAGCCACAACGGAAAATTATTTCAATATTCTCGCCTATTGAAAAAAATAGAGACATACAATAATGGTGAATTCATTAAAACGGAGTTACTCCACTGCTCATATAATTTTCATAAGGTATATAGGCATACTTACCTTTTGCACCGTGATATAACATCATTTCATTCCCATCAGACAGTGAGGTCTGCTTTTGAATTTGCTTCCTTGCTTGCTCATACATGCTTTGTAATTCAACATTCTTGATCTCTTCAATGGACACAATTTCCAGTTTGTTGCCACTAAAAGCAGAGTTCATCTTCTGTAATATTTTCTGATAGATGGATGAAGTATTTGGTACTGGTTTTAATTCAACATTCGACGATGGACCTCCACTTGGTACTACTGGTGGTAGAGCGTTATCTAATTGTTGCCATCCACGCGTTTTCATTTTATCTATTCTTTCAACAATAACTTTCCCGCACGGTGTACTTTTTACTCCAGCCAGTAAATAAAAACGGTTTTTCCGTATATTGTCGACAATTTTTTCCAGAGTAATAGAATATGGAGCGTATGTTATATCGATTCGCATACCCAAATGTTTTGTGTAATTCTTTTCAACATACAGATTGTTTACGTCAAAATCGATGCGATCATATTTATGTATGCCAATATGTGGTATAATCAAATCAATGGTAAATGGACCTGTTGGTGTATTTTGATCTACGAATAATAAATATCGCCATTGGTCCCGATGTACATTTACTGTCATTTGTAATTTTCCTAATTCATCGAGTATTTCATCGATATCAGATAAGCCATGTGCTGGCAAATAACAATCTAAGTCAGCAGGCACTATCTCTGGATGTAAATGAGCTGTCGAATTATCATATTGAATCCATTGATCAACAGTTTTATTTTTCGGACGACCTATGAAATGACCAACTATCCAGTCACGTACAAATCCTCCATAGAGTCTACAATCGAATTTGCAAACCATAATCCAAGCTACAGCCATCATTTTTGCTTCACGACTAGCTTTGTGAATTTGTGTTGAATCAAATGACAGATGTGTACTATCTGTAACTTGAGCAATACGTTGTTCAATGTCAGCATACATATTATTAGAGGAACTTGATACAACACCACTTTTAGACTTTTTTGTTCCCATAGTTGAATCGGGTACTAATATTCTTGGCGGAATAGCTAAAGTTGAGAGCAGATTATTCAGTATTTTTCATGTCTGCTGTCAATATAGAAATGAGAAGTTTGTAGAAACTTCAAAAACGGAATACCTAAAATTTTATACTAAGGATCTATGTTGTGGAACCATGAAATGGTTTGAAAGTGTTCACTATGACCTTCCGGAGCTTCAATAGTGTAAATAAATAAACAAGAGTGATTTGAATATATTTAAATGTATGGTTTTTTTATTTTCCTATGATACAGCAAAACATGGTTGTAGTTACTTTAAATTCTAACCACTACGCGGAACGCATACATAATCCGACGCTATATATATACATACATATAATTTGAACTACTTTGAAGCGTCATTACCAAAGTGTAATTATTGGAATATCGGGTCCAAAAATGAAAATTATGGACTGAGAATTGCAGTTACATTGTAACCTAGTACTAACAGGTATTGATCTATGGGAAAATCCTAGCTCTGAATAAAAATGATAATTTTTTCGTAGAGGCCACGTACCTTTTCGGGAAAGACAGTAATGTAAGATTTAATTCAGGGTTTTTAATAGAACTAATGGATAGCTTCCTTCTTCAAAATATCATTCTTCGGTTACTAACATCGTTTTTCATGAAATTCAAATAAACATCTTCGTGCTCTTTTTTTATATTTTCGTTCAGAATTGGAAATTGCTTATGCTCCAAAGTTTTTTTTTATTTCCACTATGTTAAACGACACGTAATTCTCTTTGAGTATCTTATAATAGTGAATAATTTTAGATGAGAATATGACAAAAAGCTCCTAAATATATTGAGAGTAATTATTATTAAGAAAAATCTGTTTTGTATTTTAATCAGTTTGCTTCGATAATTGTTTACTCATAAATCTTAGTTTCACATTTGTCTTCTGCTAAGTTCTTATGCTCTACTTGAAATTATTCTCAACTGAAAAAGCGAACCCTTTATTATTTTCTTGGCATGAGACAGTTAAGAATTTCGAAGATATTTCTTATTTTAAAAAGTCTTGGCCTTTAGCCTTTAAATAATATCTTGTCATTCCGATTCAGAAGTCTGAATCGCTCGTTCATGTTTTAAAAATAATCTTACCTCCACTCTTATGTGCTGCTTGTGCTTTGATATCTAATGCCTTTTGCTTGTATTGAATACTTCCATCAAGGTCACCAGTCATTGAGGCAATCTCACTTACGTCTTTGTACAAATCGATCAGCAACGGGTCATTAAATGGGAGTTCGTTGATCATACGCAGAAAGTATTTCTTTGCAAGACCAAAGTTGCCCATTTTCCATAATACGGTTCCCAACAATTGAAGATTTGCCTTCTTACTGCCATATTCGGTTCTCATCTGTTCAAGAACTTGTTTTAAACCAGACTCATTTTCGCCGCACAATACCATTTTAATGTTCCAAATATTATTAGTATTCTGTTGGATGGACGTAAGTCGAAAGATAGAGCCGTACATGAACAGCACTTCTGCTTCGGTACCGAAAGCACTATATGGACTAATATCGGCAAATGGCTTTGTAGTTACAACAGTTGGATCGGCATCTATCTCAAAAAGTACTCGTTCTAAGTCGTGCGAGATATGATCATTAGATAAATATGCTAAAGCTTGTTCTGGTTTGAAGCTGGTTGAGAAAAACGAGTTAATTGAAATAAGTTGATTAATTGATTTTCTCAACGAAGACATTTCAGTTTTTGATACCATCTGACCTCGATATACTCTAATTCGAGACTGATATTGAATTTGTTTTAGCTGCTGATATATATCCCGGCACATCGATCGTAAGAGAAAGAGTACATGAATATCTTGTACACGAAGTGCTTTGTTTAATACTTTGTACAAGAAGCACTCACGAGTATACCACCATAACGCGTCACTCGAAGTATAATTTTGCTCAAATTCTTTTACAATTTTCAGTTCGATCTCGTTACCTTTATATTGCTGTTTGCAAAGAGTAATTAATTCCTCCTTATCTTTGTCATCATATTTCAATCGAAGAAGAACATCCATTAACACTTGGGCATAAACAAAGTATCCATTGAGACCTGTTGCTGCTTGCCCTGTTTGAATCTCATTGAAACTAAAAACATTGAACGACAAAGATTCTGCTAATGTTAGCAAATATTTATAATCAGATTGAATTCGTGAAATGAGTTTATCAAGGCTAGTAAGGACAGCTGTGACCTGTAAAATAATATCATAATTCGATACTAAGTGATAAATGTCTAACCTTTTTGAATTGGTGTGCCCACTTTTCGTGAAGCGGTTTGTTCGAACAAAATATATAGATAGAAAACACTTTATGAATATGATGAATATGAGAAACTATGTCTTGACCCAATTGACCACTGGTTATCAGTACAAGATAACGGTTATGAGGCGCTTGAATAATATATTTTCGACATTCATCAGGATCTTCGAACGTTCTCAAATGATTCATATAAGTACGCAGCCGCTTTTGTGCCTCCACATTATAGTTATCTTTATTAACGTTAGCATCAAGCCAAACAAGAGTGAATTCCTCAAGATTGACCTCATATTTGTGTTTATATATAGCAGCGGTTGCCATGAAAGTTATCTAAAAGTAAAACAGCATACAGTATGTAGGAGCGATTGTGATAAAACTTATCCGTAGACTCACGCCCATACTGGACTCGTGAAATTCTGGTAGGATTCCAAAGAAAATACGCAGTTTCTGACAGAAATATGGTAGGAACTGTGGAGATGGTATTAAATGTTAATGTCGATTCCGACTATTAAACCTGTTCATCGGATTTCTGCTTACAACTCACTATCATTATCTGTTGGAAATCAATCGTAAATCATTCACATAGCTTCGTCTAAATTATTCATGTTTCAGTGAATCGTATATATGAGAGGATGTAATGTACAACGGTGAAAGTCAATATGTAAAAGCACTAGATGTTTTTCAAAAAGCATAATCTGGCTATAGTATCATCTTAATTGTTACTCAACAAACACTGGTGAACTGTTTAGAAATACAAGATAATAGTAAAAAATACTTTCTTTGTATGGAACATGTTGTTTCAGCTGTCTTTTGAAAATAATGTCGCCTCCTTTAAACTAAAGATTTCATCTTAAACACCATAAAAGATCTACTTACGCAAAAGAATTTCTTTTTTTCTTTTTATATAGAGTTACACATGTGATAGTTAGGCATGCACCAAATCCAAACTCAAACCCAAACTGTTCGGGAGTTTGGGTTTGAGTTTGGATTTATGTATTGAGTTTGGGTTTGGGTATTCAGTGTGAATTTTAGTTTGCTACATCAGGATGTGGATGTGGATGTGGATGTGGGTGTGGGTGGGTGTGGGTGTGGGGTTGGGTGTGGTGGGTGTGGGTGTGGGTGTGGGTGTGTGTGTGTGTGGGGTGTGGGTGTGGGTGTGGATGAAGGAAGTACCTATACCCACACCCACACCTACCCACACACACCCACATCTACATCCACATCCCACACCCACACCCACACCCACACACCCACACACCCACACACTCACACCCACACCCACCCACACCCACATCCACACCTCACACCCACACCCACACCCCACACCCACACCCACCCTCGAATTACCTCACCTGAGTGTATCTTGTGCTACTTGACAAGATTTATACAGCAACATCGAAATACCTGGTATTGTGGTAGCTATACTCACCTCAAGAGATAGTTTGTATTGTTAAATATTTTATAAACAGAGGTCATTAGTAGCAGCCAAAGAATAGTAATCCTTTTGATTTTCTATTGTGAATTTTGATGAAAATTTCTCTTTCTTTGTGCATGTATTAGTGAGAAATAACATGTCAATTCTATTTCATCGACTTGATCAGATCTGCAAAACGACTTCTGTTTCATTGCGTGAAATCTTGAATATGATTTATTACATAAAGTAGTAAGCTTGTTCAATTTGTTGTATCAAGACATAAAAATATCGAAATTTGTGCATTTAATTTTTTAGCTTTGGCTGATATTGACTGCAAAGTTGATAGCAATCAAATCAGATCGTGCAATATATGAATTAAAAAGACAAATGTGATGATAATTTATCATATTGAGTGAAAAGTGCAAAATGTTTATGGTTTCGTCGAGCCTGTTTGTTTCTTGTCTTCTTTTTCAAAATATTCCTTTGGATCTACTCTTCGACCTTTGGAATCTTTCATCTGATAATGTACATGTTGTGCATATTGCGTCGCTTTCTGTGGTCCTCGACCACCCATAGTACCAATCGCTTGTCCCGCTTCTACTACATCACCGACACGGACATTGGTGGTATGTAAATGTAATATCTCATGACTGTAACCATCGGATGTACGAATTTTAACCGTACCATAGTTTCCACCAACAAATACAACTTTTCCATCCACTGGTGAGTTAACTGTTGGATGTTGTAAATTAATACCTCGTTGTCCAGGAACTTTGTAATTGAAGTCAACTCCACCATGTGGACCATTCGCTCTTTTTTCACCATATTTACCAGTAATATATGATGATATACCATTTTGTGGAGGAAGTACTTGGTTCATACGTTGATTAAAGCCACGTAAACCTTCAAAAGTCAATGTAAGTATAGAACAATTTTTATATCAATTTTATTTTTGCAGAATTAGTATTTAATCAGAAAATTGTCAGAGAAGAACGGATTCACAATAGGGCTAAACATGTTGTTCAATACTGATGCTGTAACTGACATAGATTAGAACTAAAGAATTTGTATATGCATAGAAACATATAAATTGAGAAATTTTGAGGGGAAACCATAGGAATACCATCATCTCAAAGTTGCATTGACTATAATTAAATTACCTGTGTCACCATTTGAAGGATTTAAATTGACTATTGGAGCTTGTTGATATTCTAAATGTGGTCGAAGTTTGATACCACCCATTTGCTGTAAAAAAAATCCATCACCATGATCCGTGAAGGAGATTTGTGTTGGTACATAGTAACAGGATGATGATCTCATTACTGCGAAGTTGTTGACAGGACCTTTTCCGGAAGATATTTGTGCAAATTCAGGTAGCACACTTGATATATTACCAACACTATATCCTGACCGAGACATAGTTTCATAAAGACGTATTGCACTTTGTTGAGAATTTCTGATACGCTGAGAGATACCTGTAAATCATAATATCCTATGTAGTTTCAGAAATATGAAATTCACATTCATAAGAGAACTAATACTGTCTGTTTATTAGAATTCTTGGATGCAGGTTCTGAATCTGATAGAAACACATACGTTTGATAAAAGTCGAAGTGAGAAAATATGATGCAACATTTTTAATTTTTATATCAGCTTCACTTACTAGCTGCACATAAATAGAACATTACCTGAAATGATTTCATTGAGAAGTGGCTTTTCTGCATTCGAGTGGCTATTAGCAAGATAAGAACTGATTGCTGCTCCACTGATTGCTCCAACGGATATATTGAATGCTATTGATACAGATCGGGCAATCTCTGTGATTTGATTATTTTGTGTTGTAGTTAGTTGCTGACGAATCTGAGCTCGAGCATCAGCTAAATTTCGTACCAAGTGTTTTCGCGAGAGACTGATCCCTTGTTCCATAAGTGACTCATCTAATATTTGCTCAACGCGTGCATCAGTTACCAATGGCCATCTTCCACCGAAAACTTGACTTCTCAAGTTGCTGGAACTTAAAATATTTCCAATCGTCTGCAAAATAAAAACTGAAAAAGAGACATCAAAACTTTAAGAATCTCTCACCTCAATTGTCGGAGGCAGAACCATTTTACGTAATTCACGGTAATGATGTTGAAATACCAAAGCAGTCGCAGTCAATTTAGCTAACTCTGCAAGACGCAGCAATTCAGGAAATGAGTTACCTAATTCATTGTAATTTGCTGTGGCTGTTCTCGAAAAATGTTCAAACCATGGAGAAGTACCACCAATGACAGTATCAGTCTGCCCTGTCACATTATTTCTAACGCGTCTACAATAAATATAAGAAAAAGTGATGTCTAGCTTCATATTCTACATCATACTCAAGAAGACTCTCATATTTGATCTGCATATTTGGTGGACCAAATCTATAGATTGTACTGTCATCATGTTCTATTATGTTGTATTTGATCGGTTCTGATTCTATCCACATTCTAGTAGATGAACTGATTCTTCCATATTCTGCGCGACTTTCTTTGAATAATTGTTGATAAAGATCTTCAGAGAGTGCCAAATAAGCTCCATCGCGAATTGATCGGGTACGAAACGGAGATTTAGCAGATGCCTCCGCTAGAAAATTCATACTCTTCAATACTAAATCTGCATGAAGCATCGTAGCGAGAAAATCTGTGCCATCAAGTGCATCATATGGCGCCCAAGTAGCTTTTTGAAATGGATGTGGCAAATCCGTAGGAGGATCCAACGAGAAAGAAGCACCTATTTTTTTCAATTAGAAAAATATCATATAAAGCGAGAGAACAGAAGAAACACAGATCCATACCCATAATGCCTCGTTTCATTATCAGATCGACATCATCCGAATTGAACAATGCATTATTCTCATCTGCTTCTACCAAATTCAAAGAAAAAGATCCATTTGCATGGAAAGAAATTCCTTCAACTGCAGAATACACTTTGCCATTCTATGATAAACATGAATGATGTTTGTGTTTAAATTGTGAAACTACTATACCGTTGGTATTGGTACTTTTAATGGTTGACCAGCTAATCTGAAACCACATTTATCACGTGGAATCCATTCCCACTGGAGAATTTTTTCAATATCTGTTATCTTACATCCAAGTGTGTTCAATAAATGCTGACGTACACGAATCTGTACTTGTTCAAAACGATCTTCATCTTTGTACAACTGTCGAGATATTGCACGACGGTACGACGCCAATACCACAACATCTTTTGGATCGACTAAGCCAAGCTTTGTTTCATTCATACTAGCTGTAGTATTCTCAGTGGTAAAGGAAGTCTAGAATGAATATATATTGAAGAATATCATTTATAATACTTTGCACGTTACAGTATTGGATTTCCTAACTTGTCTTTTTTTTGGAAGCACTTTCGAATCCATCAGTCATAAATTTATCTATCGGTACTCTTCGATCGCTTTGAATGAAATACTAGTTTATATTTGATACTACATTATTTCATTTGACGACTACAAGAAATTATTTACAAAGTTGATTTACGAAAGTCAATATTTTAAACACATAGGTATTTTCAAGTCATACTGATCAATATAATGTGTATAAACTACCTTCAGATAAAGTCAAGAAGTTTAAACAGACCTGCAAAGTTTCTGTCTCAATTGCAAATAAGACAAAATGCACAAGTCATGCAATAGTTGTTAATAAATTTCCCTGAAAACCTTATATCTTGCCTTATCACATGGACTTATGCTTACCGCATTTCTTATCAAAGAAAAGATATTTTCATTGAAACCAGAGCCAAAGCCGTCGATGATAGAGTCGATTGTCATATTTTCTAGAATACGTATAAAACAAGAAATAGAGAACGAAACTAAAGTCAAAGCATTATTAGTTAAGCAGCATCAATACTAAATAACTCTAGATTCATCTTCGATTTCGGGTACAACTCATCCCCTCAAGATAAGTGATGAAGAAATTTTAAATAGTGAAATTTGCAAATGACTTTTATGTATCTCAAGCAATAAAAACTTTCCAATAATGGCTTACTGAATATTTACCTGCATAGTTGAAATGTACAAGCAATCAAAGAATCTTTCTCAAATATTTTAGAATTTCAAGTATCGTTGTATTTAAAAAAAAGGTGAAAGAATTTTCATTGTTTTTCCTATTATCATCATGTTTTAATGGAAAGAGATTGACTCGTTTTGTTTGATCAGCACTCCTCTCAATCAGTGTAGGAGGTGAGATTTTCAACATACCCTCCATTCTGTTTGTTTCTATTGTAGAGTTGCAGGCGACTGCGCAAGCCTCTGGAGAATTTTCTTCTGCGTATGCGGTTGGTCTGTTTGAACCATCTGTACATGGACAAGAACATCTATAGCGCGGAGCCATAATTATTCTTCTTGAATGAAGATACCAATCTGAATGGACACAATTTGTTCCCGAACAAGCATAGGTATTCCAGGGGTTGCAAGGGTTGAATGGCACCGCAATACATGCTCTAACACAAGCTTCAGCAGAGTTTTCTATTGCATAAGCAAAACTTTGATTGGAACCATAAGGACATTGACAAGAACATCTATACCGTGGTACGATTAATACGACAGCGTCTGTTGTTGAGTTGTCGTATGAATTCGAATAGGCACAATCTGTGCCTAAACATGCGTAAGTATTCACAGAAGTACAAGGATTGAATGGAACAGCAATGCAAGCCCTAACACAAGCTTCAGTAGAATTTTCTGTTGCATAAGCAAAACCTCGAACAGATCCATATGGACATTCGCAACTGCATCTGTATCGTGGAACTGTTACTGCTGTTGCATTATCGTATTCGCTCGAATAGGTACAGTCCGTTCCTAAACATGCATATGTATTTGCAGAGCGACAGGGGTTAGATGGAACACTGATACAAGCTCTAGTACAAGCTTGAGAAGAATTCTCTGTTGCGTATGCAAAACCTTGATTATCCCCATATGGACATTGACAAGCGCATCTGTATTGTGGAATCGTTATTGCTGTTGTTGAATTATCGTATTCGCTTGAATAGGTACAATCTGTTCCCAAACACGCGTATGTATTTGTAGAAGTACAAGGATTCAATGGGACAGCAATGCATGCTCTAACACAAGCTTCAGTAGAATTTTCTGTTGCATAAGTGAAACCGCGAATAGATCCATATGGACATTCGCAACTACATCTGTATTGTGGAACTGTCACTGCTGTTGCATTGTCGTATTCGCTCGAATAAGTACAGTCCGTTCCTAAACACGAATATGTATTTGTAGAGCGACAAAGATTGAATGGAACACTGATGCACGCTCTAACACAAGCTTGGGAAGAATTCTCTGCTGCATATGCAAAACCTTGATTATCTCCATATGGACATTGACAAGAGCATCTGTATCGTGGAATTGTTATTGCTGTTGTTGAATTATCGTATGAACTTGAATAGGCACAATTTGTTCCTAAACAAGCGTATGCATTCGTAGAGCGACAAGGATTGAATGGGTCTGCAATACATGCAGTAACACAAGCTTCAGGAGAATTTTCTGTTGCATAAGCGAAACCTCGAATAGATCCATGTGGACATTGACAAGTGCATCTGTATTGTGGAACTGTCACTGCTGTTGTATTATTGTATTCATCCGAATAGGCACAATTTGTTCCCAAACATGCGTATGTATTCGTAGAAGTGCAAGGATTGAATGGAACAGCAATACATGCTTCAATACACTTTTGGGTTGTGTTTGCTCTTGTTAATGCATAACCGCGATCAAAACCATAAGGACATTGACAGGAACATATGTAGATGGTAGCTGTAGTGTATTGAATAATGAATACAAAGATAGTACCAACTAGTAGAATCATTTTTTGTTAGAAGTGAGCGAAAATCCTAATGCAGATTTTTATGACTTCTATTGTTCGTAATCGTACTATTTATAATGGTGGATGAGAAAAGGTTACGATAAAGATTGCAGGAAGTGAATATTTTGGTTTTTTCCGTTTGAATCAGAATTAGTCAAATGTAAAATGAAACCATTTTGTTTCATATCAATTCATTTGGAGCTTTTTATATTATTTTCAAAACAAAATGTGATGATGCGCAGATAAGAGTAATGATGTTTAAAGGTCATACTTGACTCATTTTTTAATATTGTCTTTCACTTTTCATAAGTCCTCTAGATTGATGTAAACATTCACTTATATGCGATTTTTCTTATAAGAGTATGTGATTCAATTCAATAGAATCGTATGATTAACTTGAACTATAGAAATATATTATTCTAAATCTTTTCAATTGGCACTACTCAAAATCTTCCTTTTTTCACCAAAGAAAGATAAATACTCAGATAAATCAAATCCACGAAAATTATTTCTGTTCATCAGTAAAATAACAGGTTGTTAGAGAGAATCAATCCGTTTTTGAATTTTATCCCATGAATATGCAATTTATTTTATGTATACATAGTACTGTCTTTTACTGTAGAATATCTGTGTTAGTGGTAAAAAGATTACACAATTGACTTATGCCACGTATATTTACACTACAGTGCTGTGAAAAATTATAGAATCACCTTCTTGCATGCAGTTGTTTGTCATCGCTCTGCTTGTATAAACTCTCAGGAGTGATCGAGTCTATGGTAGTCTATAGATTCGAATGCGCTCTTTCCAAATACACAATCAGATTTTCGAATATTAACTATTAAGTTTGAGAAAAAGATATTAGTTAAAATTTACCCATTTTTGACTGTGAAAAATTATAGAATCACTTTGAAAGTTTTATCGCTTTTTATATCAAGATGACTTCAGTTTGGATTGCAAACGATACTTATAGATAGAGACACTCCTGCTGAATATTTTCATAAAAAAAACTTTGAGAAGATTCCAGCCATTTGGGTGTGGGTGTGGGGGTGTGGAGTGTGAGTGTTGCTAAGAAGATGTACACTCACACTCCACACCCCCACCCCCACACCCTGACTCAGTGCTATAGAAAAATACAAAGCAAAAAAAACAGTTATGTCACACTTGAAAGAGATTATATCTAGTATTGATTTGAGAAAAAAAAATCAGATTGGGAACAACAGCAATGTCTGTTTTAGATATATATATTTTCAGATTATTCATCAAATTATATATTTTGACATGAAAAATAGTGTCACTTGTTTCAATTCATTTGAAATCATAGAAATATCAAAACGAGATTTTATGGCGAATGATATTTGTATAGACGATAGTAAATTCATTCTTGATACTGATCTTATTTCAAATCATTTTACTTGTGTTTGAGTGCTTGTTTGCATTTTAATAGAAATATTGTTCGGTACAATTTTTCTAGATAGGCATTGGCATTTTATTAAAGTAATAACATTTCGACGAAACTCATTCATTGTTATCATGTAGAGTGGAAACGATAATGTGTGATAAGTGTAAAGAATAGAATCGAGTATTTGAAGATTTAAATGCGTTGTTTTATTTATGAAGAATGAGAATCCTACATTTGCCGGTATTGTCATGATGCAAAAGAGACACGTTGTAAGAACGAGTGCTATTGTTATAGTTCTACCTTGTATTTGTGAATTTCGAATTAAACTTCGTCGACGTAAACGTATTAAATGATAGATCACACCAGTGTTGAAAATTGTCATTAGAACAAGTGGTATACAACTATATACAATTAAATGGATAATATCCCAAAATTGATAGATCTTATAGAAAATAGAATCTACATCGATCAAACCATTGGGCTTTTTAAAGCAAGCAAATAGAAGAATGTGAAAATTCAATAAGATTGATGTACTCAGAATAATTGAAATCATGATAAGAATATTTTTTGAACTAGTAAACCATGCTCGATGAAGATAATGAAATGCAAAATATCGATCAATGCATACTAATACACGCAACCATGCAGCTACTTGCTGGGTAAAATAACTAAAAAATGCGGTGAATTTGCACCAACCTATAGAATATCTATCCAATGTAAAGCCATGAGCTCCTTTAAGATAATAATCAAGATTCCAATCATAAAGCATTAAAATATCGAAAATAGCTATAAAACGCATACAATATAGTATTGGGCGTTGTTTTGCATCGTGAAAAGTTGATTGACAAAGAATGAGCAATGTGAACAGATTAAATATAGTACCAATAATAATCAAAATCAATGAGTAATAGGCAAAGAGAGCATTGCTTCCTATATAATCTTTGTCGATAAGATTCTCGTGATTGAACATGATGCAACGATTGACTCTCTTGTATACTAGAACCAATCTAATTTCAATGCAAG